CTACCTGTACCAATGAATAGAAAGAAAAATTTAAGACTGAATGCAGAGCTGGAAGAAAGGTTTGGTGATTTTAGCTGTGTGTTCAATGTTTGCCTTTATGTTAAAGCAGATGCCTAAGGAATACATAATTCAAAAGTCCAAAGTGGTTGGCCTATTTTCCTGAAGAAGACGATGTAGTAGTAGGTCTGATTCCAGATGAGATAAGACTTTCTTATGACAAATGTATATTTGTTCTGGTTTAAGTGAGTTATTCAGTATCACAAAAAGACTTCTGACAGGTAGGGAAAAAAAAGACAATTATCCAAAATGGTATTCAATTTTCTTAAGGGAAAAATCTAACAGCTGGCTCTTATTCTGTAGTTTCCTTGCTTGTTCATTATGCAGACCTCACTCTTAGTGACAATCCTTTGCAGTGAATGAAATAATGTTAACAACAGCATTTGACTAAAAAGGAAGTACTATAATACCTTCTGGCTGAAATTCGACTGTAAACTTGACTCTGAAATTTTCTGAAGTTTGTGAGTCAAATACTAAATTTGACCTAGTATAAATACTGTTGGACCATAGGTCTAACAGCCCTTTACTTAATGCATTTTCCCCATATGCAGGAAAAAAAGACACGAAAAAAAGAAATCTAACACTTGAGCACATGCTTGGCCCTAAACTGGATAATCAGCAGGGTTAAGGTAAGTCCTCAGTGGTGGGTTTCCTTCTGTTGGTGGAAGATAACTTGAGTGTGTAGCGACTCAAAAGTGATCATGAGTTGGAAGTCTCATCCCTGGCTAGTATCAACAAAGCCAGCAGTGGGGATAATGATGTTGTATCCGCAGCCCTGGAGAATTCAAGGGCTCAAATGCAAGGTAATTCCCAAGAGGCTTGGGGATAGAGAGTGCTTGGCTGATCTGAGGAGATCATATCTGTGCCACTGAACATTTGGGAGCAGTGAGAAGATGGAGTGTGGTTGATGAAGGCAGTGTCTGTTTGTCAAAAATCCTTGTAGTAAAAATAATTCCATATATATTCTTTCCCCATTACTGTCTTATTCTAGCTAGAACTTTGTTTGAAGGCAAAACAGACCAAAAATGAAACCAACATCTCCACAGCTTGAGACACATATTTTCTAGGAAAATGGGCCACTGCTGCTTCAGCAGAGCTGCTCAGCTCCAGACAGCAGCTGCATTTCACATGGGGGTCCTTACTATGTTCCTATTCCTGCCTAGGGATGCTTCAAGACCACAGAGGCAAGCCTCTGTTTTAGCCTCAGTTTTGTCATTTGAGAGCTGCAGTTTGGGTCATTAGGGGGTTGTTCTAGTTTTTGGCCACAGATAATTTTTTCTGGTCATCATCTCTTTGAGAATATTACTGGGATGTAAATACTTCTTGTTATTTCTCTCTTCCCAAATGCAATATTTCCAACTGTATATTCATTACAAATAACAGAAACACAGGGAATGGACCTGAACATACATGAAGATAAATGCACTCTTTCTCATTACTGTTTTGTGATAGACGCTGTGTGAATACCTCAGAGACACTCACAAAGGACTTGATTACAAGTGGAATGGGAAAATGGCAGCAAAGAAAACATAGAGGGAGATAAGAGAGACATAAAAATAATAAAACAAGCAGGTAGATACACTGGGAGCAGAGTATTGATGGCCTTATGCCCCTGTAAGAGCACAGAAGTAAAAGTTATGTTCAGATTTGAAGAGTTTGCCCTCTCTAAAACCTTCAAGTAGGAACAAAATAAGGATTAGGATTGCATAGTGTCTAATGACTGCTTAAAACTTCTCAGTTTCCATGGCTCATGGCACTCATGTAAATCTGTTTCTGACCTCAAGAGATGAACCCATTATCAATTGATAAGAGTAAGAGAGATGTAATTTTGCTTCAGTCTTGCCTGTCATTGCTCTGCTCCTAGAGTTCACTCCCTTGCTGTTGTGCTCTTGCTGTGATGCATAATTTCCACTGTTCTCAGGATGCCTCTCCCAGAAGCTGTGTTAATGATGTCCTTGTCTCCTAGAAGGATTTAAGATTCAGAAATACCTGTTACCTCCAGTATAAACTCCCTTAAGCACATGCCAGCTGGCAAGGTCGTTCCTTGAAGTGGAAAAGAGAAGCGAGAAATGCCTTTAACATGGCTTTTGAAAAGTTGAAAAGGTTATTTAAGGCAAACGTGTTTTTGAAAGATATGAAGATGCTGATAGGAGCTCAGCTTTACTTCACTTTCCCTGTAATATCTTCTTGGTATTATACAGCAGTGGTATTCCCTGAGAGAACCACTCTGGAACCTAGATGAAAAACAGTGAAAAATTCAACAGTTTTTTAAAACACTCTCTTCTAGAAAATACTCTGTTCATCTTTTCTGAAATCACTTTTTCCTAGGCACATGGCATGGTGCTGTAACATGTATGCTAACTCTAGTTTGGAAGGAATTAGGATGGAAATAACTTTTGGGGAGCAAAGTCTCCTGTTGCTGTGCCTGGTAACACTTTGGCTGGAAGCAGTCCCAGTGGATCTTTTTGTCTCTGGTTGCTGTGAAGGCAAGTGAAGTGGTGATTCAGTTTGGACTGTAAGGCTGTGGCATGGTCCCCAGCTTGTTTGGGAAGGAAGAGTTGCTACTGATATTTTACACTAACATGCCCTGTGGTTGGGGGTGTGTGGGTGTTCTTGTTTTGGGGCTGGTGGGATTTTCTTTGTCAGACATTTACCTTGTCTTTATGCATCTATTCTTCCTATCCAAATACCTTGCTTGTTTGATGTGCAAGAACATGGAAATTGTAAAATTTAGCCATTGTAAAATAGTATTTAAACAGACAAACTCAAGAGTTACATTAGTTCATTCTTATTTTAGCCTGACACAACCCTCAGCATTGGCAATAGCTGGAATGTATCAGCTATTGTTAGTCAAAGGGGTACTTTCTTTCTCAGCTGACACCAGATGATTTTTGGTTTGCAAGACACTACTGTATCAGCAATGCTATCTGACAAAGGTACAGATGCAGGAAAACGTGCTTACTGTTTAAAAGGCTGCTGATATTACTGTTTGGCAGATGGCTACTACAGGTGAATGCTTTCCAGTCATTTTAAGCCCAGTGCACTGAAGCAGAAAAAAAAAATAAACTAGATGGACATCATAGCTGTGATTAAGCACAGTGCAAAATCCTTAGGGGAAAAAGCCTCTACAGTCCCGTTTTACAAACAAATTTGGCTCATGCTAGCAGAAAACAAAAAGACCAGACTAGTGGAAAAATACATGGTTGCTGATTTTCGTTAAAATTAATTTATACGAGAGGCTTTGTTGAGTGAGCATGTTCACGTGGATGTGTGGTGTATTATTCCAACCCCTTCTGTAACATAACCACGGTGACTGCGTCACATGGTGCTAGTGCAAACAAAGTCTTGCTAACAGCCCATGAATAGAAGCATTTTCCAAGAATACGGTTTCTCATTGGGACTATCGACTGATTCCTGTGCTACCGAGGGATAAGGATAGCTAGGGACAGCTTTGGAGGTATATAAGTGCAGTAATCTGAAGCATGAAAAAAAAGAGTGTTTGCTACATAATCAGAAAATGGTACAAGGGATATAGTTAATTCTGTGGCACTTGTAATTAATTCCTGATTGGCAGGTGATATCAAAAATAATAGAGTGTATCTTGTTAAACATTCTACTTCTGTGTATATTCCATGTCCTTTTTGTTCTCCTCGTGTTTGAATCTGAGAGGCCATCACTGAGCCGACTTCCTCCACATAGCAAGACTCCCTGCATTTTCCCTTGTCCTCCATTAGCATCCTATTTGCATCAGATCCAAAATAAGCACTTTTTTCTTGATGGATTCAGCTCAACTTATCTTTCTGATCTCACAGCCATTTGTTTTCTTAGCTATTAAGCTACTCATCCTAGCCTTCATTTTGTTTCTCATTGTCTCAGGTTATGAATTCATCTAATGGCAGCTCTTTTTCCTAGAACAAAAGCACTTTCTAAAAATATCGCTACAAAACTTTTTCTTTTCCTCTTGATGTTCTCCGAGAAGTGTTTTTGGATGTATATTAGGAAAAACAGAGTAATATTCTATATATACTTGTAGGAAATGATGAAACCACACTTATTTAGACTTTGAAGAACAACTTGATTTTTTAACGACAGTAGAAATACTGTCAAGGTTTGATGGACGTGAACAGACTTTGTTGCGAGAAATTCTGGCTGTTTCTGAGCCTTTCCTTCATGGGAGTGGAGTAAGTGTGGAGGCCGACAGTCCCCTGGGAATAGGGACAGCGCAAGACTTGGTCCAGAGCACCGCCTTTCTGCAGTCAGTGTTAAGCCGGCACCCCGTAAAGCCCACTTTGACCTCAGCAGCACATCCCGGCACCTCGCCGGGCTCACACCAGGGCTGCTCTGCCCCGTTCCCCGCCGGGCACGGCACCGCATCCCCGAGCGCCGAGCCCGCCCCTCAGCCGCCGCCACATCCCACTTCCCCCGGGCCGCCCCTCGGCCGCCCGCCACGCCCCCGCCGCGCCGCCCGCTCCCATTGGCTGAGCGCGACGAGCGACAGGGCCGCTGGCCAACGGGACGCGCGCTGGTGCCGCGGTGGCGCCCAATGGGCTGGCGCGCCCCCCACCCCTGCCCGTCGCGGCCGGGCGCTGGGGCTGCGCGGTGCCATTCGGAGGGCGGGCGGCGTGGGGAGCGGATGGTGCGGGTAGCGGCTCCCGGGCGCTGGCGGGGGCAGGAGCAAGAGCTGGCTGCGAACGCCTCCCCCCTTCCCCATCCTTCCCGCTCCGGCTGCGTGTCCCCTCGTCGTGCTGTGCCGCCGACCGCCCTGAGCCGGCAGCGCTGTACGATGTGAGCGGTCGTTGGTCTCGGCAGCGCCCCCGGTGCTCTCGACGCTGGGGCGGGCAGCGATGGCCAGAGCTTGGCGTGGAAGCAGCAGCCGCCGTCGCCGATAGGAAGCGCCGGGGGCAGCTGGGCAGGCGGCGCGGAGTCTCCCCAGGGCCGTGCAGCGCTTGTCCCGCCCCGCCCCCTCCCTCCTTCCCTCCCCTCCTCCTCCTCTCCCCGCGGCCGGTGCATGCGGGGCGCTGGGGGCCGAGCTCGGGTCCCCCGCAGCCACCGGAGCGAGTGACCCGCGGGGGTCTTGCGCATCCCCGCTATGTCCTCGTCCAGCTCCTCGCAAACCCCCCCGTCCCACCACCAGCCCCCGCCGCAGAGGATGAGGCGCGGCGCTGCCGGGTCCCCCACCGCCGGCACGGCCGGGGGCCCCGGTAACGGCGCCGGGGGAGGCTCGGCGGGGACCAGCCGGCTGCTCCAGCCTATCCGAGCGACCGTCCCGTACCAGCTCCTGCGGGGCAACCAGCACAGCCCGACCCGGTCCCCATCCGCCTCGGTGGGCAGCAACACGGGGCCGGGGGGCGGCGGGGGTCGCGGCGGAGGCAGCCCCCCACCGCCGCCCAGCGCGACGCCGCCGCTGGCGGCGGGCGGCGGCGGAGCGGAGCCGGGCAGGGTGAAGGGCAGGCAGCGGCGGTCGCCGGAGAGCGGCGGCAGCAGGAGGAGCAGCTCACCTGAGAGACGGAGCCCCAGTTCCCCGGTGTACAGAGGTAAAGCACCGGGAGAAAGCCGGTCTCGCTTCCCTGCCCCGCGGGGGTGCTGGCCGGGCTGGGGCCGCCCAGGCTCCGGGCACCCTGGGCTCTGCTTTCCGCTCCTGGGCTGCGCCCTGCCTTCCCCCCGGGCCAGCGGGGGTGGGACACCGGGGACTCCCGGCCGGACGGGAGGAGCCCCGCCGGAGCCTTAGGGAGCGGGTCGGGGGTCGAGGGCGAGCTTTAAATCCCCCGCCCCCGGGGCAGGTGTCGTGCCCGGGTTTGCTTTGCCAGGAAGGGGGGCAAAAGCGCTTCGTCCCGCCGCCCTGCCCCGCGATGGGGGGAGGCGACGCCTGAAATGTCATCCTCCTTCTCGGGCAAGGTGAGAATCCTGCCTAGGAGCCCCCCCCGGGCCGGCCTTGGGAGGAGCGGCGCGGGGCGAGCCCGGGGCCCGGCGGCGGCTCCCCTCACCGGGGGAGAAGCAGTCGGGGGCTCCGGCGGCGCTGCTCTTGCCGCTACTACCCTTGGCCTCGGGCTCTGGCAGCGGAGATGTGTAATAGGGAAACGAGCCTAAAATTAACCCTCTTCCCTTTCTCTAGTTGTAACTGTCTAGTAGGGGTGATAATGAGTTAGATTTGTATCTGGGGTGTCACAACCCAGTTATGAAGTGTGTGTTAAAACCAAGCCTCCAAAGCTCTTCCTTTCTGCAGAGCTCGGTTTCTTAAAATACTTACATTTTTGTAAGATCATAGGTTAAAAGATGTGATGTTTTCAAGCACAGGCTCCAAAACAAGGAAATTCCCATACTGAGGTGCTTAAAAACAAGTCTGTCTCCTTGTGATATTTAGTACTGAATCCTTGGGACTGTAAAAAACTCAACCAAACAAAACCACTACAAACCAACCCCCGTGTAGCCAAAATAGGCCTATAAAATTTAAAATCTAAAATTGATTCCCAGCAAGTTCAGCTTAACCTGTGTCAGGTTGTCTGTTAAATTATTGAATGTGTTAAAGTGGCAGTGGCCATCTTACCTCCCCACTCCCTTCTGCCTTCCCCCATCACTTGAGCAGTTGAATGAATTGGGCTAAATGCACTTTTTATGTTGTTCTGCTGTAGCTATCAGGTATCGCACATCATCTCTTTCTGGGAATGCTTTCTGTGGTTCAATACCACTTGCTTTTTCTGTCCCTTCCATAAGTCTTAACTGTGTGTGATTTTTGTGGCAAATTGTGGTCTATGTTGGGTGCCAGTGTGTGTTGTAGCAGTGGAATCTTACCTTCTTTCCTCTTCAGTTTTTATGTGTAGTAAACCCTTGCTGTGTGTAGTATTTGCAACTTGGGCAGGTCTGTCATCGGAATTGTACTAGGTCAGGGCAGCATTTTACAAATGAGCAAAATGTCACTGCCAATTACAAATGGAGTTAATTTGCCCTATGCATCTGCTTATGCAGATGACCTAATTGATTGTGCTATAATATGGCTAGAGATACTTTGTAATGCATTTTTCAAAAAGAGTCTATTTCTGCAGAGGGTTTTGCGTGCTTGAAAATGGAACTGAGCTTCTGTGGTTTTGATTCATTCAAGCTCTATTTAAAATTTTGAAGATCGTATTTTTCTGACTGTATGGAGCACTAAATGTCGATTTCCCTTTTGCCTTTTAAACCTTTGGAAAATGCTAATAGGAAACTAGGAAAAAACCAAAATATCTGTGTGTATGAGTAGTGATAGTGCTGACGATGAGCAGTAAATTATTTAATTATGGGAACCCGGAGGAAAACATTGTAGTGGTGCAGTGTATAAAGCCTACACTTAAGGTGTATTGAAGAGGGAGGAATATGGGCAGCTACCTGCAAGCTAGAAAAATACTGCAAAGCTGTGAAGTACTTCATTAACAGGTATGATTTTTTTGTTGGAGGGGAAATTTTAATTTTAGAAAGTGGTTTCAGTCTTCTTCATCTGTGGGCTATTTTAGCCTTAATAAATCAGACTATAAATTAGTACTGAATGACTTTTCTGTCATTAAACTTGTTTGAGCTTGCCTCCTGGTGAACTGCGTCACAGAGCTTGATTTGGTTTAATGAGTGCAGTGTATAAAATCATAAATGGTCCGTCGAGAAATGCACCCTGTAATCTGTATGCACTGCAAAGACTTCGTTCCCCCTCCTCCAGGTCAAGCCAGCTGCTGCTGCAGAAGCTGACATCCTTTAGCAAATCCTGAATGAATGAATGAAAACAACGTGATCGCCCTAATAATGACCACAATTGCACACGTCAACAGCTTTATTTTACTGAAATACAGGCACCATTTTCTAGCAGGCGAGAGTAATAAGATACTCTATTTCTTCAGTCTTGCAAATGAAAAAAGGTTACCAAACCTCCCCTTCATCTTCCCCTCCCCCCCCCCCCCGCCCCAAAACTAGAGGTGTTTTTACACAATTTGGAATATAGTTCCATGCCATGGGGCAGTATTTTGTCTTTGTTTTTCTGCTTGTTCTCAACATTTTAGTAAATGACGTGTGGACACTAAAAACATGTTTGTAGCATGTATGGTGATAATAGTATATAGAAAATTGATTGCTGAGCTGGAGGACTACTGCAGTAATAATGGAGAAAAATTTTAAATGTTCCATTTTCAGACATGGACCATTTTGCTGTGGCTTGTTAAACAATGCTACTCCAGCTATTTATAGCTGTTATCAGTATGCAAGTCTTGGGGAAGTGGCTTGATTAAGTTTTTTTGTCAGTTTTTCAAAGCCATTTCCCACTGCTGTAAAATGTGAGCTTAGGCTCTAGGTTTAATCCTGTTGTTTTTCTCACCAGTGCAGGAGATGTTTGTCTTTGGCTCTGCAGTCTGACTTGGATTGTTTCACAAATATGCTCGTTCTAGAAACTGCTTATGATTCTGATGGATAGATGTTATTCTCTTAAGACACCTGTCCCTTCCCCACCTCCTTTCAGCCTTTTTCAGTATAGAGGCCTTGAACTGGCTATCCTACTAAACCATTTTGTGTGGATATTTTAGTGATTTGCTAGAGGTTCCTTTATGAAGGAGATTTCTGTGCAAACACTTCAGCTTTGAGCCTCTACAGGTCAGAGCAGCTACCACTGCAGGCACTGACATCACTGCTACATGAATGAAAGCAGCGTGGTCTGTTTTTTCTCCCATAATGATGTTTTCTACCCCTTCTTTGTAGTATATTGTAGAGGTTTTTGTTCTGTAGCAACACCCTGTGTTTTTATGACTGAAACTTTCAATAATGTTATATTTTCTTTCAAGTAAATTTGAGGACTTCTAGTTGTTAGGAAGCCATCAATGCCAGTAGCAGTATTTATTTGGTTAGTACTGTTGCTGAGTGGGTGAGAAATCATGAATGTTACATACATATTTTTAAGGTGCTAAAAAGAGGGAAAAAGAAGGGAAAAACCTGATATCATGGGATAAATCTGTGATGTGCAAGTCTATGCCTTTGCTCTTTCTTGAAATGTGTTTATTCCTTACTCGTAGATATTTTTTATAGTGTGTGTTCATGTTTTGGAGAGCTGGCAGTGGAAAAAGTGTCTGGTTGAATGTAACAACACGTGGTTTTCTTAGAGGGAATATATCTGTTAGATCTCTGAGTGCATAAAAGTAATGTCAACAGAATCTGAAGCTGTGTGGTTTATGACAAAGGATATTCTGGTAATAACCCAAAAAAGCCAAACCCTTGGACATGTCAAATAAAACTTGCTATTTGCCTGTGGACACATCTTTTAAAGAAAAAAGCAACTTGTTTTCCTCCTTGCCTTACCTGGATAAAATCAGTAGTGTCTGCTGTTATGTAAAGTAGCTTGTATAAATATGAGAGTGGGTTTCCTGTTTAGTTTCTTTTTTTATGATACATTAATATTTTGTATACAAGGAGGGTGTAAATTACTTCTATGATTCAAGCTCAACACTGCTCTCACCAAATGCTTTGATTTTAGTTTTAACTCTAGTAGTACTGTAATATTATGCCTCATATTTTTCTAACTTTCACTTACACATTTTATAGAACAAACGTTTTGCCATTCCATTTCAAATGTTAAAGACAAACATTAGTTTTAAGGACATATGAAAAATACTGTGATCAGTTTGGCTGCTAAAGGTTCCCAGTGTCTTTTACTTCCCAAAATAACTCCTGAAGATTTGCCAACATGAGTGAGAGAAAGGAATTACAAAAGATGCAAAACAACTGTATAACCCAGTTCAATATAAGAAGTATATATATCTGGTTTTAGGCTAGTGGAATTAGGAGTGGAGTAAAACAAACAATATTTTTGATCTCTAGACTTGTAAGGGATGTCAGTATTAAAAAAAAAAAACACCCAAAATTTGTACTTCAAAAGGTAGAATTAGTTTAATATACTAGATTCAAACCATCCAGTATTTTGGCATCATAAGCATTTATACCACAGATCAAGAAGATGTTGCCTTTATTTCTAGCAAATGTAGGTAAGGAAGTAATTTTTGTGACGCTTCCTATTTCCTGATCCCTGAATAATGCAGTATTCCCATAATTGTATGGCCAAAACAGTTTTGCTCCAGCTTTCTCCCTGTGGCTTCCCAAAATAGCTTTCATTGGAATATAATATGGTGACATAAAAGACCCTGAACTCAAAGCCTTTTTAGTTATATGTTTTAACATGACTATAAATGAGAATTTATTAAATGTCTTTAATAAATAATGCTTTTTAAAACAAATTAATTGAGCTTCTTTCAGGTGTTAAATTGCAGGAAGAAAAAAGAGAAAGTTATTTTCTGTATTGAACTTGAATAGTGCTGTACCAAGGCATTAGCTTTGAAGACAGAACCTCCCTGTTTCATGGAAAAAAAACCAAACAAACCTAACTTAAGAAGTATATGATTATACCTGTTTTAAATCACTACTTGATCTTTAATTCTTATTCTTTGGTCATAAGCAAGTATTTTTGTCTTACATGTGGCCAAACTGAAGTTACTTGCCGACATCTGTGCATAGCAAAACAGTGGCAAATACTGAAATT